CTTGAGGGCTCCCAGATCCTTAATGTGAAATTCTTTTGCGAGTTTCTCTTTGAGGGCTTTATATACATAAACATACGAGATTTTTAAAATAATTCCACATGTGAATATACATCCAACGACTTTAGTACATGAATCTATAGTATGTAAAACATCCAATCCAACATAAATAAATGCACTCAAGGGTTACAAAGTCCAAGGCTTAGGTCCGGTTACACAAAATGGTTGCTCGAACCCATACAAATATAGCCATTGGCTTGCAAAAATATAGTTACAACAAAATAAGAGCCTTGTGCTCTCAACACACACATCCATGCTCTTAGTTAAGTGGAATCACCACATTTTTTTTGCACAAAATCCCATAAGGTGAGCATAAAGCCTAGTAGAAATTTCTTAACAAAATATATACATTTTATACAATTCTCATAAGGTGAGCGCCAATTGTACGGGAAAGAAATAAACCTTCTCGTATAATCCTGTTGATCAAGTCTGCGCTCCTCTGTACGTCGTCGCTTTATCACCTGAAAACACAAACGTGAGCTAGCCGGCGGGTGTGTGCCGGAAACCTCTCCGATGCCTAAGTCAGTAAGCTTGACAAATAGACAAAAGCTCTGTGTATTCAGAAAGCAAAGTTGTGTGTTACCTCTCCAAAGGTGATGTTTGTGAGCTTTTATAGGTTTCGTGTGGCACAATCCTAGTAGGACTTGTACTCCTCCATGCAGAGTCCTCCTAGGATTGATACTCCTGAAAGATAATGCTTATCCTTCAACACCCCCCTCACTGCTTAAACCAAGTGAGATGGTTCTTCTATGGCCGGGCTACCACGACCGAAGTAAAATGTCCATGCTATGCTAGCAACCACATGGCCGAGATTCAACTAGCCTGGTCTTTTACTCCGCAGTTTGTACCTCGGTTTCCCTGTCGAGACCGAGCTAAATTAAGAGTGAGGCTTGCTTTCTCTTCATCATGCCTTGGTTCCAAATAGTGCGGCCGAGCTATCCACGCCTATGGTAATCGAGATAACTCCGCAAGATTATGACCGAGTTAACTCAGTGCGACGACCGAGCTTACCTTAGGACCGGCGTAACTTTAAGATTCTCCTAGACCGGTCTAACTTTTCGGCCTTAGGACCGGACTTGCTTCGAAATATTCACTCGACCGGAGTAACTTACATGGCCATTTTACTCGGCCCATTGTATTGCGGCCCGAAACGGCCCATTTACCCAGCTCGGCCCAATTTTCCATACAAATTACCCTCACAAAATCTATCATCAAATTCAAATTTAATGAAAAATGCCTAAAACATGATCTTAAATCCTTTCATCAAACTGATATCAAATAAATAGAGCGTTACTTTTTCCATCAAATTAAAAGAGCTTTATATTTTTATTAAATTTGCAGGTGACAGACATCCTCTCAAACATCCTTCCGAACAATCTCTTCCTTGCAAAAATTCCCATAAAGGTGTTGGTTAATTTTCACAAACCGGTCGACCGGCCATACATCAGCCTGATTGTCCTCTCGACCAACCGATGCTTTGATAAAAAATACAAATTATATGTTAAAACACTCAATATCAAATGAAGCATTTACCCAAATATTTATTTAAAATTTAGGTCTCATTTGGTAACAACATGTGTTTAGCAAAAAAGTGAAAAAATCAGTATAAATTCTTACATCATTCTCTCTACTTCTTTACATTTTTTTTATAAAAAATTAAAAAATTACTAAAATAACTTGTTCCTCAACGAGGTCTTAATAATAATAAAACAAGGGTTGGGCTTATTTCTAGGCCGTAATTAGACTAAAGGGTATTGTTGGGTCCATAGAGGTCAATCACGGGTTCCGTTTCGATAATCCGAACCGTTCAATATGTAGAAATCGTCGAGTACTATATATCTGTTAAAAAATCACGTTGATCGGATATCGATAGTTATCTCATCGGATCAGATTTATGTCACCCGTTTATTTTTTTACCGTCTAATTTTTTTTTATGCAAAACTGATTTAATCAAGTAGTTATCAATATCCAATCAACGTGATTTTTTTATAAGTATATAATATTCAATAAATTCTACATATTAAATAGTTTAAATTATTAAGGGGTTATTTGGAATGACCTAAATAAGTGTACTTTTATCTTTTTATAAAAAGATGTACACAAAAATAAAGAGAAGATGTAATAAAAAAAATAAAAAAATAAAACGATGAATTATTTTTGAATTAGCAAACTTGGCGACCTAAAATAAAATCTCACGAACCTAACAGTATCCTACAGTCCCGGACTGGAGGACAGCCTGCCCCATAATGTTAGAGATGCGCCGAGGCTACCAAATAATTTCTCATTTTCTCCACAAATGTCAAAATCCAAAGGACAATAAACGTCTTTCGTCAGTGAGCAGCACCTTCGAGCGTTAATCGGCCCCATCTCCTTCTCCACAGTTACCACTGCAAATTCGCTAGCTCGGTTTCTCTCTCTCTCTCTCTAGCTGCATTGACCAAATATGCCTGTAAGTCTCTCTCTCTATCTCTCTGGTTTTCAATCTTGATTCAGATCTCTCAAACAAAACAGAGTATGATCAATATCAGGACCCTAGGGTTTCGATTCCAATTCACATACATACATAATTATATGTAATCTAATGATACAGCTCGTAAGTGTTTTGCAATTGTGTGTGTTTGATACATACAGTTCAGGAGAGTAATCGAGGTAGAACCACCAAGCCCTATGAGATACATAATCGGAGCAGCGATCATGATGATCGGCGTAGTATTGCCCGTCGGATACATGATGTTCCGCAACAAGCGTGTCCCCACCTCTTCTTCTTACTCCAAACAGACGTAGGTGTGCCTTTGTTTTGTATTTCTTTCTATCAATTTCAATTGGTGACTGACCTATTCATATTGGGTTAATTTCATTTTATCTCCTAAATTATTGTGATTTTATATATATATATATATATATAAATTTAGGCACTAACTTATCAATTTTATTTATTTAGGCCTTACAGTTTATAATTTTAGTTCATATGGTTTATTTGGGGAATGTCTATCCAAATGTAGAAGACAAAAATATACAAATTTTCAAATTGGACAATCTAAATCACACAACTAAACACTCATGTTATTTTCCACTACCCTTTTTTTCAAAACAGTGAATAAAAAATTAATGTGTGGTTGTTTGGTTTAAGTTATTCAAATTTTGAAATAACCTTTTTGCCAATCAAATTAAGTTCTACTGATTTGGACAACCGTCTCTAATTGGACCATACTAGTTGAAGTTAGGAACACTTTATGAAATTGATAGTTTAAGGATGAAATAGAAAAAATGGTGATCGATTAGGTGATAGAAGTAAAACTAACCCCCATATATATATATGGAAAACTCTATACATATGTTAAATTCATACAAAAACTTTACAAGAATGATATGACATGACAATGACATTACTGTAAATAAAATCATCTTTAATAGTGTTTTGTTTTGAAATGAAAGGCCCACAATGAGGCACACCCACATCATTATGTATGAATTTTTTGTTTGTATAGCATAACTCTATATATATTTTTGTGTACTTATTTATTGATTGTAATTTTGCTTTTTTGGGTGATTTTTCGAAGTGGGACAAACTGAAATGGTAAATTGATTTAATGATTCAGGAACAAAGTTTTGATATAGAGGCATAGCTTTAGAGTTGATTCCGGGATCATGGAAGTGTGATCAAGAAGAAGAAGACAAGAAAGAAGAGCATTAACAGATATGCATAGCGTGATTGTAAATTGTGTGAAAGTCGAATTTATGGCTTGTGGGTTGTTTGGAACTCTAGAACTCTAGTTCAAATCTACGAATGATATGCTTATGGCTAAATTCATTTTTTTTCCCAGTCTTTGTTTTATTTTGGGGAGTTTTATTAATGTTTACTATGCACATCTGGTCATCTTTTTAGCTTGAATGATAAACTTTTTCCCATGTTACTTCTTATTTTGTTGGACAGAAACATGGGTGGTGTTGTTATTGAAGTTGGCTTTTGCTTGAAAATTCTAATGAAGGTACACTTTCACATTTATGCTATTAATTGTAATGATCATAGGTTTATTTGGAAAATTGCAAGAGGTCAGTTGATGTATTTATGTTCATTCTGCTCTTACAAATATTTCCATCTAAAATTTGTGATTGCTTGCATTTTAAGTGAGAGTTGTTCACAATAATGTGTGTTTGTGCATCATGTTGTAAGGTATGATCATATTTTCCAGTTTCTTGAATTAAGGGATATTATTTTACAAGAATGAGATGGATTATGAAATGGCTTGTCACAACTAAATAAATTGGTTTAGCAGTCCTTTATCCTTGCTTTGAAAAAACAGTGGTTGATGATAGGATAGATTCTTCCGGTTTCCTTCCCATATTTTGTAGATTTGATTTTGTTTTATTAGAAATGTGAACTTGGACTTCTTTATGAGACTTGCATTTTTAGTAGTGTAATCTTCTGAACAAGCTGTGTAGTGGAGCTTATTTATTCATGTGTTGCCAGTCTTAGAACTCTGAAGAGGTATATAGAGCAGGCATGTTATAAGCAATTTTATTTGATGGTTTGTTCTGTATGCCGGGGAAATTGGTTCCTAGTTGAGAGTGAGGATTGAGAAGGCAATCACATTACACATTGGTATGTGAGTGCTAATCTTTATGCAAATATACTATGAGATTCTCTATTTAATTAGAGATTATGAACCGCTTTAAGGGAGAAGCATGATATGGCCAAAGGCAAACGAGGACAATGAGACTTATTGTGGAACTTACTACAATAGTTTGGTATATGGGTGTGAACTTTGCGTAGTTATTATGGAAACTAAGACTTTCATGGCAGTTTGGAGAAGGTTTTACAATAGTTTTGTATAAGATGTGTGTCCAATTTGTCTATCTGAGGGTCCACCCAATAAGTATGTATAATTGTCAAGTTTATTATATTACTATGAATGTGTCTCCATTTTATGCATAAAATTATATATCTTAATTTATAAACATCATTTTATTACTCTTAAAGAATAAACGAAATATTTAAGAAATATGAAATATAGTCTTGTCTTAGGCCTCGTTTGGGGAGTAACTATTTTAGCCAAAAAGTTACTATAAGTTATCACATCACTCTTTCTATTTTTTGCATATCTTTTCGTAAAAAGCTACTAAAATAGCATGTTCCCAAACGAGGTCTTAATGTTCTTAGTATGAGAATTATGTAAATTCGACACTTAAGAGCACACACCCATTTGGGAATTGACTATTTTAGTTGGCTTTTAAATTTTTTACGAAAAGATGTGTAAAAAATACAGAGAGTGATGTGACAATTTATAGTGATTTTTTGATTTTTTGACTACAAACGCACCTTCCAACATGGGGTATATTAGTTGTTGTCATCACTTCCCCGTTTTTTGAATATTATTTGGTGGGGGAATAATGTATTAGTGATAGTTTAGAAAAATATTTACAAAAAAAAGTGGTAAATATTGTAAATATTAATAATTAAAATCATAAAGACTTTTTCACTTTTTGTGTAATAATTTTTCAAAATTCACACTGAATAGTAATTTTCCCTTATTTGATCTTGGATGTTTGATTCCATTATATACCTAATTCTACAGGTATGTTGAGATTCTTTCATTTTTAATTTGCAAAAATGTTTTTTAAAATGAATTATTTTTATTTTTTTCCTTTCACCGAGCTTACTTTTCTTCATGATTGTTGGGAGTAGTTAGTTCCTAATTAGGGTTCAAATATTTGTACAAATAGAAGATTCTATTGTATTAATGATTTAGCACAGCTGCACAAGTGTTCCTTCCAAGTAGTTGTGTAGCATGGTCTTCCCAGAGGCATATCTAATTGAGCAAGTGTTGTAAAGGTTTTTGGTGAAGCAAAGATGAGAAATGTGTTGTATATGGAAAGAACAAACGAGTACACAGCTACATCAAATGTCTCACTTTTTGTCTTTGTTTTTTCTTTTTATTTTGTTGGTTTTCAAATACTTAAAAAGGCAGCTTTGTCCAATAGAAAGGCAGACATTAGCTTTTTTGGTAGTGTAGGTTCAAATCACGGAAGCATCTCTAGTAATGGGGGTAAGGTTACTTATATCTTATCGTTTCAGATCTCATTTTAACAGGAGCCTTGTATGACTACCGAATTGATGATGGGAGGGATCCTCATAGTGTTTCCAAGTTCGCGTGATAATTTGCTGTTTAGATCATGCAGTTCTTTTGTTATAATTATTAGTATCAGCCTTCATATGATCCATTCAAACTCCATGTTCAAAGATGTGATGCCCACCTATTATCATCCATTTATCCTTTATCATCACTCTCAAATGGAAACAGATCAACAGAAATATTAGTAGCATATTTCTTAATATAATAAGATATGAATACGACTCGTCACGAATCTCACCCTTACAAGACTCAATATGAACTTGATTTGGCACCATGCTATGGTGGTGGTGGTGATGGCGGTGACTGATGGTAGCAGCAGTGGCAACGGGAGGTGGTGTTCTGTAAAGGGAGGAAAGATAGGGAATAAGAGGAAAAAAAGATGGGGAATGATCAGGGGTGGAGATGACAGGATAGACAAAGATAATTTAGGAAAGTTGGGGGTTGCGTGCGGGGTAGGGGAGCTGGGGGAGGGTTGCGAAAGCTTAGAGTGGTTAAGAGGGCAAAGAATGGTAGGAATGGGGTTAGTGGTGACTGGGAAGGGTGGATGAGGGTGGCCAACGGCTGGGCAGGGAGAGAGAAGGAAGAGTGAAGATGAGGAAAGAAAAGGGTGAAGGTTAAGGGTGAAGGTTAGGGCAAAAATGAGAGAACAAAAAATATAATTTTGACAATATTTTTGTTTTTTTTTTTTTTAAACTTGCCAAGTACACGACAATTATTTTTTATTCCCACAATTATTGTAGATTCCTTCGATTGCCTTTCTTTTTTCTTTTTTTTGAAAAAAAACATTAAATTTTTTTTTGGGGACATTTTTTACAATAAAAATTGATGAAATATTTTTCATCATCAACAAAAATAAATTTATTTGAGTGACAAAAATTTCATTTTTTGAAAATAACATATTTTTTAAAACTAGATTCCCTTCTTACCAATGTAAAAATTTATTGTGTGTTTAATACATGTTTGCATCCAACCAATCACTTATTGCCAAGCCCATGCTATTCTCCCCAATATAAAATTTTATGAAAAATTATACAATAGTTTCAAAGAATTATATGGTCATGCCCTCTCATCAATCACTATTTATTTTATCTTCTTATATATTTCAATCGCCCAACATAAATAATTAATACATCACATTCTCTACCGATTATATTATCATGAAATATCACGTAGCTATGTTTTTGAATTACTAAATAATCATCCAAAATTGTGTGTCTAATAAATGTCTTGTTTACAACCAATCACTAATTGTCATGCCCATGTACTCTCACCAGTTACAAAATACTTACAGCACCACGACTTATGTCCTAGAACCACCCACCCAAGAATGGATCTGTAGAAGGGCAAAAGGGGGCGATCGCCTCCTAAGATTTAAAAAACCTCTATTGCTATAGTAGTATTAATTATAATTACCTTTAAATTATATAGGTTCACCCCATTAAATATTTTTTTTACAAATTTTAAGTGGTCATTCTCCCTTGATTTTTTTAAAAATTTAAGTGGTTGCTCTTCTATATCTATAAAACATTGGATCAAAGTATAAAATTAAAAAAAAATTAGACAAAATAAAAAAAAATTAATAATCTTTTATAACTATCATTGATAACAAGCCTTATTTCTAGATAATAAAATAAGATAATAGCTAGTTATTTGATCATATTTGTTGAGAAAGACATTATGCAAGATTTTAAGATTAATTCTATTATAGATATTTTTAATACCATAAAACAGCGTCACACACCACTTAAGATACCTCACTTTAGTGAATATATTATTTTTACAATTGCAATCTTTTTCAATATGGACACAAAAAAAAAGAAGCTTATTTATACATGTTTTTATCTTATTCACTTTTTATATGTCAATAGAAAATTGATATTGTAATCTATATTTTTTATTTAAAATTTTTATCAGTATATATATTTTCACCTCTTATATTAAAATCTTGAATCCGTTCCTACACCCATCAGATCATTTCTTTACTAATGTCACTAGTAAGGGAAAATATATCTTTAGTGTATTCTTCGAAAATATATTTAAAATAGTGATATTCATTATAATGGGTGTTTTGAGAAGATGATTAAAAAGTTACTTTTAATTTTTTTTGGACCTTTTTGTAAGATAAGAAAGTGGGTTAAAAGTTAAAAAGTGCCTTTTAACTTATTTTCCAAAATAACCATAAGTATTAATATGTAAAATTATAAAAAAACCAATCAATACCACCATTGCCATCCTTCCTACGATGAACAAGGAACTTACCTACTTTATCGTACTAGGTTCATTTTTTCCTTCTTCTTTCTTTCTTTCCTTCTTTTTTTTTTTTTTTTTTTTAATTTTTTTTTATATATAAAAGTTAAAAAAGTTATATTAATATGAAAAAACAATAGAATGTATAGTTTTGGTGAGAAAACCATAAATTTGGGATTTTTTTTAAATTAAGCCAAATTAACAACTTAATTTTCAAACTATGCCTAATTTAGACGGAATTCCTAAACTAGGCTAAACGTTATTACAAACTACGCTTTCACTGTACCTAGACCTCTCCCGTAAGAAATTTATAAAATAGTAAAAGCGTGGTTACAAATCACGCTTTTAAATTTTTCTTTTCATTTCATAAAACGTGATTTCAAATCATACTTTATAAATTTTTTTGAGAAAACGTGCAAATCACGCTTTCAACTCACTCTACGCACTCACTCTTCTCTTCTCTCTCTCACACACACAACACTCAAAACACACACTAAACCAATATAATTTTTAATATATATAAATTTTATTTTATAAAATTAAGACCAATATTAAATATATATAATAATAATTTATAATAGCAAATAATAATAAACTATATGAAATTAAGACCAATATTTTCAAATAATTTTTTTTCAAATATTTTTTTTTTCAAATATTTTTTTTTCAATTAATTTTTTTTTTCAATGATTTTTTTTTTCAACTAATACTAACCAGGGGGCAATTGGTAATGCTACTTTAAACCTTAGGGAGGGGATTGCAATTTCTAAAATGTGAGAGGTGTCAATGTAATTTATCCAGTGAGGGAAAAATTGGTATTTAAAAAAATTAAATTGCTAAGGGAGAATCTGTAATGAAACTTTAAACCTCAGGAGAAGATGTAATTTAGGTCTCAACAAATATATTTTTTATTTTATGTTTTAAAATTTTTTTAAATATTTTAATCAAATCAAACGTGTTTGTAATTTATATTTTTTTAAAAATAAATAAAAATCAATTCATAAAATTTTTGTAAACGTTACGGAATGCTATCTTAGTGTCAGCTTTTTGCACACAAGTCAGCGTTAGAGACTGCAGAAGAGAAGAGAAGAGAAGAGAAGAGAAGAGATGATCATCCTCTCCCGATGGCGGAGATGACTGTAAAGTACGGAATCATAGGAGTGGGAATGATGGGAAGAGAGCACCTCATCAATCTTCATCATCTCCGCAATGAAGGCGTCGCCGTCGTCTGCATCGCAGATCCCCACCTCCCTTCACAACAAGTTGCCCTAGATTTATCTCAATCATTTAACTGGCCTCTCAAGGTATTAATTATATTGGCTCAAACAAAAAAAAAGTATTATATGACTGAAGTATTTGAATTCTCTGAGCTTTAGCTTAAAAAGTTTAATCCTCTAAACACTCAGGGATTGTTTGTGTAGAAAAGTAGAAAAATGATGTGATGAAAAAAAAGATAAAAATGTAAAAAGTGTGTACTATAGCCAAACTTGGATTTACTCAAATTTTGCTTACTATTTTACTCATTTATTTCAAAACATGTGCCATGAAACATTCAAGCATTTTCAAATTTTACTTTTTATTTATTTATTTATCAAATTTAAGTAAAATTTTGATTAAAAGCTTGATCTGATGCAGAACGCTCTAATCTAATCCTTACTCTTTTTTTTTTAATTCCAAACTTATAAGAAAATCATTTCCGATTTTTACTCTTTTAAAAAATGTAATTAAATTTGAGTAAAAATATGACGTTTAAAAATTTGGTGAAACATTTGGTTTGTTTTTGATTTGGTGAAAATTTTACCTCTCCGCTAATTTGATACAACTTTGATGAATGATGGGGGCTCACTTTTCCGTCTTTTGACGAAAGAATTGGTGAAAAATTGGAGATGCTCTTACATGATTTGATTTGTTAATTGTCAAAATTATTTTGATTGTGAAGATCAGAGATATGGTGATTGTCAAGGAAAAAAAAAAAATAAAGGGCAAATTGCGACAATAGTCCCTCTACTTTGGTCTTTGTATCATTTTGGTCCCTATAATTTCAATTGGCACGATTTTGACCCTAAATTTATGATTTTGTTTTAATTTGGTTCACTTGATTACAGCGCTTAACAATTTTTTATTTTTTTTTTAATGAAAAATATGCATATGTGCATATAAGGGGCATGTGTCATATTAACCAATTTAGTGATTATTTTTCGCCAAACACATTAGCGACATTATCAATTGGACCAAAATGACATAAAATTTAAAATTAAGGGTCAAAATTGAGCCAATTGAAAGTTGAGGGACTAAAATGACATAAGGGGCAAAATGTAAGGACCACTAGTGTAATTTGCTCAAAAATAAATAAATAAATAAATAAAGTTGTTTTGGTTGTAAGAAATAAAAATTACATTGTCAAAAATTGTGAAGGATCGTAATTAGATTTTTTTGCTTTGGGCCTCAAATAGGCTTGACCCGTCACTTCATGATCGAGAAGTGATCTTGATGATTAATAACTTTGTGAAACCAAATTTACAGTTGGAATTGCAGTTACTTATGTGATGTTTTTTTGGTTAATTTGCTCATGCTATGTACAATAATAATCAAGAGTTAGAATGATTAAATGTGGAAACAACATCATTCTTTTAAAATAGTTATTGAATTTTGATCTATGGCACAAGTTATCAAATGAACAAAATCAAAATCCGATTACAGGTGTTTAGAATTGAAAATCAGATATGGGTACAATGAAATTTGCTTGCTTTAAAAGGGAGAAACTGTGCCGGCATGCTTGAGATTGGACATTGTATTTTCAATTCTGTATTATCTATTCCGTGCACCGCCTAAATTTTATACAGTTTGAGAGAGAATTTTTTGAAGCGTAATAATGCTAATCAGAATCTCTTGTATAATATTTTTTTGAACAGCTTTTATGAGAAATGAAGTTTTTATGAATTTGTTTGCTGCAAAGGTTTTCCCGGGACACCAGGAGCTACTGGAAAGTGGGCTCTGTGATGTGGTGGTTGTTTCAACTCCAAATATGACTCATTACCAAATCCTAATGGACATCATTAACTACCCGAAACCCCATCATGTTCTAGTGGAGAAGCCTCTTTGCACTACAGTCATGGACTGCAAGAAGGTCAGTATCATAATAAACTGACGACTTATTTGCATTAATGTGTTTATGCAATGTATTGATTAAACAAACTTGAGAAGTATTTGACAGTGAACAAACAATTTCTGAATTATTAGATGATGCTTAAAGATATTAATGTAATACAATAATTTTTAGAGCCGAATGTTATTTTGGGATGTTTTCTCTAAAATTTGGAGAATTTGCGGTTTTGAATGGAAGTTGTTATGCTTATTATTATCGATCAAAAGAAGAATTGTTATTTTGTTTTAACGTAACAGACTTGAGGATTACATTAGGTTTTAAAAACCATTGTCATATTTACGAAAGTTTAATCTTCAGATTATGTATTTGACAAATGCACAAGGCATGGTGAAATGGCAAGCATGAAAATAAGTGCTTCTGTTCATAAAATTCGTGAAAAATGTCAACTAATCCATAGGCAGAGATGAATTACAGTAGTCTGGATTTTGTGTCACAGCTTCTCTAACGAGTGCTTGATTCTCCCTTTGTCTCTCTTTGCATCTACGACCCAGAAGATTGAAGTAGCTTGGTCTGGATTTCGTGTCACATCTTTTCAAACAAGTGCTCGATTTTATTTAGTTATTTTTCTCTCTTTTAATTTATATGATCAATGATCAATATATGTGATGGTTTTAGGATTTTGGGTTTAGGTAGTAGAGGCTGCTAAAAAGCGACCAGAGATGCTGGTGCAAGTTGGACTGGAATATAGATACATGCCACCTGTTGCTAAACTTATAGAAATAGTTAGGGATGGAGCACTAGGACATATCAAAATGGTGGCCATCCGGGAGCACCGATTTCCTTTTTTGGTTAAGGTAACTTCTTGTGCTATATTGCTACTTGGTTTCATTTTGCATTGTGGTAGTTTTGTTATTGACTCCTGCATGTTATATATAGGTGAACAATTGGAATCGGTTCAATTGTAACTCTGGAGGAACTCTGGTAGAGAAATGCTGCCACTTTTTTGATCTGATGAGGCTGTTTGCTGGTGCAAATCCTGTCTGTGTGATGGCCTCTGGAGGTGTTGATGTTAATCACAAGGATGAAATTTATGATGGCAAAGTGAGTTATCCCCTCAATATATATATATATATAAAATAAGTAAATAGATATAAAAATAAAAAACCAACCAATTAAATAATAAATTTTTTGTGCCTTGAACATCGTATGTAATCATTTTTTTTGTCATAATATTGGACCCGCTAGTGCAAATAGTTACATTTTACTAATACATGGTGGGAAATAAAATTGTAGAAGCCAGTTGGTGATTGGGAAGTTGGTCCAAAATGGTAGATCAAGTTGGCTAATGCAAGCAATTTAGGTTTTGAAAGTCGTTTCAGATTGTGTTTACACCAACAATCATCAATAATTTTTTTATGTTTTAATCCCATGATTCATTCTTCCCTATTTGCATTGGATACAGGTGCCTGATATAATTGACAATGCATATGTTATTGTCGAATTTGAGAATGGTTCTCGAGGCATGCTCGACCTTTGTATGTTTGCCGAAGGGAGTAAAAATGAGCAAGAAATATCTGTTGTTGGTGACATTGGAAAGGTTAAGTCTCTCTCTCATGGCAGTTGTGTGTCAGCATAAGCATTTCAGGCTGATCAGATATAAATAGATGTGAAAATGTGATAAAAAAATCCTGCTATTGTCACAATTTTGTCCAACACATAATTGCCACACTGATATTCCTCTATTGCTTTTAACTATGCATCTTCTTTCTTTTTGTTGGGGTTGTCTTGATTTGAATTTTGAGTTGCTTTAACAGGGAGAGGCCTTTGTTCCTGAGAGTATTGTGCGTTTGGGCACTCGACTAGAGGGAAGAGATGATGTCCAAACCCTAAAAGCCGAGGATGACCGAATCAAGTGGGGAAAACTTTTTTCTTTCTGTGTCTTTTTGGTCCCAGTCTCTAGTGTGTTCAGAGAATTTTCTCTCTCCTGGCACTCCCTAACAACAAGCTTATCCATTTAATTTTCTTATCAGATATGAGGGACTACATCATGGTTCTAGCTATTTGGAGCATCTTAATTTTTTGTCAGCAATTAGAGCTAAAGGCATAAAAGCTCCTGCCGTGGATCTACACGATGGGTTGGTTTCAGTTGCTATGGGAGTTGCAGCGCAGCTTTCAATAGAGCGAGGCCGATTTGTCACAATCAAGGAAGTTATGAATGAAAGCAAATTCAATAATTTGGTGTCATAATCTTGGTGGTAGTGGTGGTTGCACTTGTTAATCCTTTCTTTTTATTTACCAAAAAAAAAATAAAAATGGATGATGTGAAATGGTTTTGGCCAGCAAGAAAGCCTGCCAAACAATGTGTTGAACTCTTGGTGAAACCTGTATACAGGACTCTTGTATTTGCTTGACAAAAAAAAAAAAAAAAACAGAGAATCTTTTCATCTTCTTGTGAATAAAGAGGTGCTCTATTGTACACCACAATGAAGGAATGTACTGTAATGTGGTGCTTGTAAGTTGTTTCACTTCCCACATATACAAGAAATCTGAAATCTATGTGGATAACACAAGCTTTCTCAAGCTAGGAGTTATCATTGGTGTTTTGGAATCGTTTTTGTCATCAGTTTTATTTTTTTGTTCTTGAATCTATGTAAGTTCTTGAACAAATGCAATTATTTGCCCACAAAAATTAAGTTTTGTGTTGATAGTTAAAACATTATGAAATAGAAGAGGCTTTTCTAATTTTGTGAGTGGTTTAGGTTAGGAAAATGAGAAGAAAATGTATAGAAATTTGTCAAAAAATTCATTTTCTGTTTAGTTACTAAAAAACTGAATATACATATATTAGTTTAATTTCCCATTAGTTTTATTTTTCTTTAAGGTCATGTTTGTTTGGATGGATATGAGCTTGGGATTGGACTAATAGTCCAATAAAATTATTAATCTGATGTTTGGTTAAACAATTGAAATACGGATTAATTATTTTAAACTTGACTATTAGTTAAGATAGGATACATAATCCAACGGATTTGTAGTCTTAGGACTATTAATCATGAGAATGCTAATCCAGTCCGTCCAAACAAACATGACCTAACAGATTTAAGATTTAAAATGAAAACATACACAGTGATTAAAATTAATAAAAGGAAAACATACACAGTGATTAAAATTAATAAAAGGAAAAAAAAATAAAAAAATAGAAGTTCCCGCTAATTTTCTTCTGCCGTACCGTGCCGTACCTCCCACGCCGGTGCACATTTTAAGCATCCATGCGCACTCGGAACAAGGTAGAAAAATCAGTAGGAAGCACCTCTATATAAGTCGGATACAGTTTGGAGCGCATTTCGAAATTTGTAGAATCAGTGTTCGCTACTGAGTGGAGAACAAACAATGGACGACGACGCAGGAGAAATATCGAGCTTCGTAGTCGGTTTGATCGAGAACAGAGCCAAGGAGGTATCATCTTCAATCTCTCTCTCTCTCTCGCCACATTCTGTATGCCGAAATTCACGAGATTTAGAGTTCGAATATTTGTGTTTAGCGGTCATTGAAGAAGATCGCAGTGCTTTGATTCTTTTTTTTTTTTGATGTTCAGATGTTATGAAATAGTTGAATTTCAGTAAAATTGTTGCTGATTCGATGTTTGGGCAAGTTCTAGGGTTAGATATGTACATTGTCCTTCAATCATTTGTTTAATAAAGTTGCAATGGTTATTATTGTTGAATTGCTCTTTTTTTCTGTGCATGCTACTTGTTGAATTATGGATGGATTGTTAGGTTTCAAATATTTGTTCTGAGAGATTTTGTGAAGATGATTGTGGATTTGGTGGACTAGTGGTATCACATGAATAGACTGGGATATGATGTAAGGTAAAAAAAGAACCTAATATTATGGCTAATGCCGTACCAAATTAATTAGCATTTCAGCTGAGAGGGAGAAGTATGATTTGGATTGGGCCATGATAATACCGGACATATTGTGGGCCGAACACATTTGGGCCGTGGCATCCTGGGTCCACCTAGAAGCGATTTTTGCTCGGTAATGGCAAGGGCGTGTGGAACTGAGCTACTTGACCTTGTTGGCACGGAGGCCGGTCAAGTAAGGGTTCCACGGTTTATGCGTTGCGCGGTTGGAAAGCGCGCATCCATAGCTCGGCATGAAGGTTCATGCCTGAAGCTCGGCAGGAAGGCCTTTGGTTGACCTGTATGACCAATCTCAAGCTTGGCTTCGTCAGAATGCAGTCGAGCACGGCTGGAAAGGAGCTCGGTTATTGGAGCACTTGGGCATGAAGCGCAGCATGGCCGTTTACAGTCGAGATGCTGCAGCTCGGCTGCCGAGCTCCCAGTAGAGTGGGCTGGCAGTTGGGTTAGGTGATGTTCAGCATGATTTGTACTACAGATGGGATAGCAGCACCACGTGTCGAGAGATCACTGGGAGTAGGTTTGGGGCGTAGAAGGTATATAAGTATGTCTGCGCCCCCCATATCGGGGATGACATTCCAGTGAGGTAAACACTAAACACCACTCCAGTCCTCTCTCTCTCCATCCCTGTGTGTGGCTAACTTGATCGTCGGAGGGGTTTTCCGGCCACACACCGCCGGGTAGCTTACCGCCGTTGTACTCGTAGGTCGATCAGACAGATTGGAGCTTGGAAGAAAGGAGTGCAAGCTTGCCTGAATATTTGCTCCCCGTACAATTGGCGCCGTCTGTGGGAAGCTTGACAAACAAAACCTTGTCTTCCAGGCTCATCTGATCGCCGTCCATGGTGAACAACGACGAGATTCCGTTGTCTGCCATCGACTGAGTTACCCCGGAGTCAGGCAGACGGAGAGAAGGACATCCCACCATCATTTCTCCGATGACGGACCTGGAGACTTCTCCAGGAGGACATTTAAGAGATGCGCGGGATAAGCGCGGAAGAAGTTTTGGTCATTTACGGAGTCCAGACGATCATCGGCGGCGGAGAGAATCGCACACCAGACGACTGGAACACAAGCTAAGGGACCAAGACGCCGTCATCCGGCGAATGGCGGCGGAAATGGAGGATCTTAAGCAGCATGTCAAAGGAAAAGGTGTAGCTGGAGTAGGCGACCACAGTGAGCGCACCCAACCACGCCGTTCAGGCAGCCAGAGCTAGCGGCGTACTCTGTCCATCTCAATTAGCAGAAGTTACAAGGTTGGAGATTCTGATGCACACGAAGCGAAGTCCAGCGCGCAAGACAACACTTACTGACCCTCACGTCCGGCGACGACGTCGAGGTATTCTTATTCCGCTCATTCAAAGGATTTGTGGGCAGTCTTGAAGGAACGGGCTCGCCGGCGGGAGGCTCAGAGGGTGCCGGCGTTCCAGCGGCTGTCCTATGGGGTTCACCCCAGTGAAGAGGTCGGAATGCCTCCACCCCGCCTAGTTGCACCTCTCCCTTTAGACACAGACTTGGCTAGGCTGAGTGCCACTCCTTTCTCCCTGGAGATAGAAACAACACCGCTTCCGGCAGGGTTCCACCAGCCAAAGTTCACGCTCTACGACGGTAAAACCGATCCTTATATGCATGTAAGCCACTTCCGACAGGTCATGGCTGGACACAGGCGAAATGACGCCCTTATGTGCCTAATCTTCCCGTCAAGCTTGGGCGAGCTGGGCTTAAAATAGTTTGAGAGGTTGTCGGAGGGGAGCATAGAAAGGTGGCATCAGTTGGTCGAAGTCTTTGTGACGCGCTTCAAAACAAACACCAAAACACCGAAGGAAGTTGACCACCTACTGAGTGTCAAGATGGAACCGAGCGACACATTGAAGGCATACAACTCCAGATATTGGGAGACTTTCAATGAGATCTTGGATTGCTCGGTCAACCTTGGAATCACACAATACAAGCGTGGTCTCCCAGTCGGACATAGACTGCGGGACTCGCTTACCATGCACCAGCCGACATCCATAGGCCAGCTAATGCAGTACATCAATGAGCATATCCGAGTGGAGGATGATGCGTCGGCATCTACCGCGAAGGCAACTCCGGTAGCAGCAGACAAGAGGTCGGCTGGCAAAGTGCACGCGGTCGGACAAGAGTCCGTCCGTTCAAATGACCGCGCTGAGGAATCGGACCGTGGTTCAAATCGCAAAAACCGGAGTAGGGGACGTCGGAATAACCGGGATGATTACCCCCGGGATGACGTAGCAGATGCAAACAGAAGGTTGAAGGCCAGGACAAGTATCACCACGGTCTTTAAGATTCCAATCTATCGTATACTTAGTGAAATCCGTGACGAGGAGTATGTCCGGTTTCCTGCTAAGTTGGGCGACGGACAGAAGGGCTTCAATCCGCGGTACCGTTGCACGTTTCACTGGGAGCGAGGACATTGGACAGAGAACTGTTTGCCTTTGAGGCAATACTTGGAAGAGCTAGTCGCAGCCGGACACCTGGACCTTTACATTGATGGGGGCGTGAAGGCAAATCAAGCTCCGGTTGATCCCCGGGGACCGGATGATCGGGATGCTCCTCCACAAGGGGTTGTTAATGTCATCCACGGCATAGTGGAACCGGCGCGTGTATGCGAGCTCCGCGGTATGATCAAGAAGGCAGAACATATGAGGGAAGTTTTGTCGGTTCAGCCTGCGATCAAGAGGGGGAAGACCGAAGAGAAAGATGTGATCAGTTTCTCCTTAAGGGACCTAGAGCGCATTCAGGCGCCGCACAACGATGCCCTAGTGGTTACACTCCGCGTCAAAGAATTTGATGTCAAACAGATCTTGATCGATCAGGGAAGCTCGGTCGAGATCATGTATTACGACGCATTCAAGTAGCTTAAGCTCCGGGATACAGATTTGGCTCCGGCAACTTCGCCACTGGTTGGTTTCAACTCACAACCAGAGTGGCCTTTGGGAAAGATTATCCTGCTGGTCAAAGCGGGATCCGTGGTCAAGCAGATGGAGTTCTGGGTGTTGCAGGTGCCATCTACTGATGGCTTCACGCTATGCAAGCCGTGGCGTCAACCTACCACCAGGTACTGAGATTTCCCTCGGCTATGGGGGGCAATTGAGGAGATTTGGGGGGATCAAGTCATGTCGAAGCAATGCTTCGTGGCAGTGAACGGGAGCCGGGCTGCCAAGAGCTTCGTCCAAATGATTGAGGGACCGGAAGACGGGGGAGTCCTTGATGATGTGGGTACTAAGGCCGAGGACAAAGCCGTTGAGGAATTGGTGGAAGTGCGAATTGATACAGAGAATCCGGACAAGTTCTTCTTGCTCGGCTCAAGCCTCACCACCCAAGAAAGAACCGAGATGGTGGAATTTTTGATGGCAAATATCGAAGTCTTCGCATGGTCGCCCTACGACATGCCCGGCCTCGATCTGAGTTTTATTTGCCATCACCTCAACATCTTCCCAGGAGCCAAGCCGGTAATTCAGCGAACAAGGAGATCGGCGCTGCATCACGCCGAGGTAGTTGCAGAGGAAGTGAAGAACTTGCTTGAGGCACGCGCCATTCAGGAAGTGCACTACCCTTGGTGGATCTCAAACACGGTCGTGGTGCCCAAGAAAAATGGGAATTGGCGAGTCTGTGTGGATTACAAGACCGTCAACCGAGCCTGCCCGAAAGACAGCTTCCCTCTGCCCAGAATTGACCACCTTGTGGATTTAACGGCTGGACATAACAGGCTTAGTTTCTTGGATGCCTACCGCGGCTACCATCAGATTGCCATGCATGGCCCGGACCGAGAGATCACCTCATTCACTACACCAAGGGGACTCTTCTGCTATCGAGTCATGCCTTTTGGTTTGAAGAACGCCGGGGCGACTTTTCAAAGAATGGTGATGAAGATGTTTGCTCCTTTGCTGGGCCGGACAATGGAGGCTTACATTTATGATATGGTGGTTAAAAGTCGGCATCAAGTAGACCACTTGTCCGACTTAGCCGAGATGTTCGCCATTCTCAAAACACACAAGCTTCGCCTGAATGCGTCTAAGTATGCCTTTGGCGTGGGATCCGAAAAATTCTTAGGCTTCCTAGTCACGAACCAAGGCATTGAAGCAGACCCCACACAGATCAGAGCCGTACAAGAATTGCAGCAGCCCAGCTCGGCTAAGGACGTGCAGCATCTGGCCAGAATGGCCGCTGCGCTTAATTGATTTATAAGCCGGTCATCAGATCGCTGCCGCCCTTTCTTTCAAGCATTGAAATCAAAGTTCTCGTGGAATGAAAAGTGTGACCGGGCTTTGGCCGAGCTAAAGGAGTATCTGTCTTCGGTGCCACTGTTGGTAACGCCGAAGCCCGGCGAAGAACTGTACCTTTATCTGGCCGTTTCGTAGCATGCAGTCAGTGCAGTGCTTGTCTGGTCGGAAGGAATCCAGCATCTCCCTATCTTCTACGTCAGCAAAACTTTGTTATCGGCGGAGTCGCGGTACTTGCCGCTGGAAAAACTTGCGTTGGCATTAATGATGGCCTCAAGGAAGTTGGCGCACTA